ATGAAACACTGACTACAGGCAGTTAACTCTGCCACAGCATTGATGTTCCTATGGGGCAGTTCAAAGTAGTACACTGTAAAAAAAAAAAAAAAAAAAGGCAGGAGGGATCCTGGGTGGCCCAGTTGGTTGAGCATCTGATGCATGATTTTGGATCAGGTCATGATTTCAGGGTCGTGAGACCAAGCCCCACATTGGGCTCCGTACTAAGTGTGGAGTGTGCTTAAGATTCTCTCCCGCCCTCTCCCGCTGCCCCTCCCCCAACACTCATGCGTGTGCACTCTTTCTCTTGAAAAAACAAAAAAAGCCATTAATTAGATGTACCTGTCAGGTTCCAAAAATTGTATTAGAGCCTGTTGGTACTTGGAAACACTCATGTGTTAACCAATCCAATGCTAGAAGCTGGCAGTCTGCACTCTAAAAGCCAAATTAGAAAATGTAACTTCACTGAATTTAAAAGAGAGCATGTATTGCTAAAACACTCGTGCTTTATTTAATTACACTCTTGGTATATTTGACATCGTTTTGCTTGATATCTTCTCAAAGACGATAAAATCATATACATTTTAGATATGCGGCTGATTCTAAAGGAGTACTTTCCAGCCAGGTGTTACACCAGGATGGATTCCTGGAACATTTGGTGATCTACAGTGAGCCAGAGCTGCATTCTCACCTTCACTGTAAAGGCAAATACCTCATGTGTGCATGTTTACCCCTTCAGAAGCTGTGACGGTTCCCTAAATTGAATGAATGGTAGACTGGAATGCCGGAATGTCCTAAAATATTGACTATGACGTTCAATGTCCGGAGAGATAGGAACACAGGTCAAGTGCGTCAGATGACTGGGACACACTAGAATGATGAGGAGAGAAACATTCATGGAGTTAGGACATCCAATTACATAAAGCATTTAGAAAAAATGTTAAGATTTGTGATGGCACTATCATGATTATTTTACTATCAAAAATAAGATGCATAGAATTGAATGGAAACGCTTGCATGACTAGAGTTATTGTTAGGCTATTAACTAGTATTAATTTGGGAGAATTATTAGTGAAAGGTGCTTTGCAAACTATATCACCTGTATGGAGATTGTGGACAAGGTTTTTGTTCTTGTTTTGTCTTATCAGAAAATAACAGTAACCTCTTTCAGAATTAATTACTTTGGGAAAGACCTTTGTACTCTGATTGAGTGTATTTGTTCTGATGAAATGTTCTCTTTGATATTGATGTTGTATATGAAATGAACCTGCTGGTGGCTGTCTTCCTTTAATTAGGAAACTTAATAAGCCAGCACTGTCTTTCTGTCACACACACGAAGTATTATAAGAAACATGACTAATATGCAGTAATTCAGAGTGCTATGATAAATAACACAGCTCATTGAAATTATGAAAAAGTACCTTAACAATGTCTTCAGAGAGAAATCAAGATACATGTTTTAGGCTAGAAATTCTTTTTTCCCCCTAAGATTTTATTTATTTATTTGTCAGAAAGAGAGAGAGAGAGACCACAAGCAGGAGGAGCTGCAGGCAGAGGGACAAACAGGCTCCCTGCTGAGCAGGGAGCCCGATGTGGGGTTCAATCCCAGCGCCCTGGGATCATGACCTGAGCTGAAGGCAGATGCTTAAGCAACTGAGGCACCCAGGCACCCCTAGGTTAGCAATTCTTAATTCTAGTTACATTTAATATTTACCTGGGGTACAGTTAAAAGTATGCATCCTGATTTCTTCCTCAGACCAAGTAAAATTGATTCTCGGGAGCTGGGACTCAGAGAGATTTAAAAGCTCCCGGGTGACGAATATGTAGCCAGAGTTGAGAATCACTGATGTAGGCGATAGGGCCAGGCCACCAATATGTTCACTGATGAAAACTCAGGGCTAACCCTCTGAAGGTTATAAATAAATTCCTCTGAGGTTGTAAAATAAGTGTTGTAATAGATTAATATTACTTTTGATAAATTCTGGCTTTATTTTTTTTCTACTCAGTTTATGAAAAAGAAAAGCCCCAGTTCAAAGGCATTGCTCGTGCACAAGTCTGGCAAGCTACAGATCTGAATGCAAATCTCGCTCAAATGAAGTAAACCTTGCGTGATAATAGCAAAAGGCAAAAGGGAAGGTTAAATAAACTTATCTCTGCTTATAGGAAAATAAATAAAAATTATACTGACTACTAACCGAGGGTCAGGATAGAATCTTTCAATATTATTGTTATTCCAAATACTGGGTGATTATCAACCAGTTTCAAGTTTCAGTTTTGAAAACTCTCCATAGAATTGTGTGCTATTTGGACTGAAATATGAGCAATTTTCCCTACTTACAAAAAATTCTGATGTAAAGTTTTTCTTTACATATTCTTATTATATAATATTTGTATATGTTGTTTAGAGAGAAAAAAAGAAAATACAGACAACAAGAAGAAACCACAAATAATCATACCACATGAAGATACACACTCTTAGCTAACATATTGGTATATTTCTTTCTACTGCTTTTCCAATACATTTTTAACTAAAATGAAGGGAGGTCTCTACATTTATATTTAAGCTATTTTTCCCCACCCAGCAATATGCCACAAAATGTTCAATAGTACAATTACTAGAATATTCAATTTTCTTACATTCCTAAGTCAACAAAGCTGTGAGGAAAAATATTTTTCATTTCTGATATTATTTTTTTTGCAATAGATTTTTAGATGTAAAATTGTATACTGAAGTCTCTAAAATAAGTGTTCTACAGGTTTCATCCTATGTATCTCATTGAAGAGCTGTGTATCATCAACTTTTGGTAGAATAAAGAAACAAAGTTCAAGATGGCTGAATGAACTTTCAAGTACATTTGTTGTTCCTGGCTCTGAAGACTTCATTAACATGATAATAAATAACTTTCAAAAGGTATAGACCTAGGGTAGTTTTCTAGAAGGCAAAATTCTGATGTAAGAGTGTTAACTGACAGAGTAGTTTAGCTTAGATTTTGTGCAGGGCAGGAAGACAGTGAATCATCCTAGAGATGGCCGGACTCAAAAATGGCAGATAGACAAAGACAGGAGTGAGAGTCAGAGAAGAAAACTGAAGGTCTGACAATAAAACATGCAAACACAAACTTTTTCTCTAAAGACATTCAAAGTACAAAAGCAGTAATGTGGGAATCAGCACTCTGGAGTATAGTCTTCCATCTGACATTGGGTAGGTCACCTGAGAACTGGCTCCTTAGCCATTCACTCTGTAGTGAAATCTTTCCTTTCCTGAGACTTCTCCATGCACCCAGAACTCTAAGTCAGCCTTCCTGTTGTTTTATTCTTCAATGTAAACAGATGACCAAAGATCACCAGAAATTGTTGGAAATTCTATAGCCTAAAAGAGAATGACTAATTGAAGCAGGCAGGAAAATGGGTCACTGGAACAATAGACTAAAACTTAAAAAGCAAGGGAAAACTTAAGACATTCACAAGTGTAATTAGAGAGATTAGAGATGTTATGTTCATGAAATACAACAGGATGCTCTGAAAAAGTTACATTCTGAAAACAAAAAAGACTCTCGGAAATCAAATATACATATATGATCTCACCATCCCTCCAACACACACACCACACACACACACACACACACACACACACACACACAGAAATGAAAAGTCATTTGGAAGAAAAGCACAGGAAATCTTCCAGAACTGAGGCCGAAATCAAAACCATGAGATGAAAGAAAATGCACACACAGGCACGCACATACACCTAAACATAATGCTGTATAAGTTTGTAACACAAAAAATAAAGATAATAAAAATGCACAGAGAGAAGAAAAAAAAATCATTGACAAAGGAATAAGAATCAGACAGCAATTGGGCTATTTTAGCAGTAACAATGGATGCTAGATAACAGTGAATCCAGTCTCCAGATTTCAAGGAAAATTATTTTTAACCTAGGACTTTATAACCAAGCAGATACAATGAAATGTAAAAGTGAACCGAAGTCATCTCAGACATACAATAACTTAGCAAGTTTGCATATCACATGAGTCTTCAGAGGTAGGTGCTTAAGGATATACTAAAAAAAAAAATGAGGTTGAAAACTAAGAAAGAGGAATATGTGGGACAGTAGAAACTGGAATTAATCCAGTAATCTAATGAAAAGTCAGTGAACACCAAGAATTTCTTAAAGAAGAAGAATGAGGTAAAGGATATAAAAATTAGAATCTGGAACATATGGGAATATTTAGAAGGTGAGATATTTTCTCCTCCCAAGGAAAAAAAATACAGGTAATCTAGGAAAATAAAACTAACAAAAGTTTGTGGTATAAACATGGAAGTAAGTTTAGTGTGGCATAATTTTGAGTAATTGATGGAGGGTTGGAAAGAGGAATCAATTTGACCTTGACTCAGGACTATTCAAGAGTGGCACAGAGATCATAACAGCTTGGAACTGTAGAAGAGGAACTGATCCTATAACTTCCAAAAGCATTATTTTCATAGTAGTACTACATTTGCCAAGTGGAGAATCAAGAGATACTGTTAAAATATGATAGAATGTGATATAAAGGTGTAAATATGCTATTTAAAGCTACAGATTTAATTGGCAGAGAGGCTTAAAATTTTAAATGGCAATATAACTATGAAAAATTGAAGGGTTATGCAAATAAGCTAAATCTTCATCTAACACCACAGGGTAATAACAGATACTGCTGAAATTTAATAAATCTAGAAATAGCAGTATTAATGTGCTTACTCATAGGGAACTGAAAGATATTTCCAAAAGCTTAACAGCAGAAAGTGTTAAAAACTTTTGGTTATGAGATTGTTGTTCATTACAAATCTTCTTATATTACTTGAATTTCAAACTGTACATGAAATACCTTAATCATTTAAGCTGAGCATATTATACTCACCCATCAAATATTAAAGACCAAACATGTATTTTTTTCTTAAAAAGTAATATTCTAGATTTGAAGAAGACAGCTTACCTTTGGAGAGGGGGTAAAGGAATAAGGAGATACTAGAAATTAACTTACCCAAGCAAAAGTCACTGAGGTCAGCAAAAGAACATTTGAGCAGAGAGTCTTTTTTATCCTCCTCAGCGTTAACTGGGGAAAAAAAAAAGACGTTCATAGTTTTTGGAAATAAAAACATTAACATTTAGAAAAATGACCATCGTGACTGATGGCCAAACATAAAGAAAATTTTTAAGTTAATGAGTTGAAATTAGTTATCTAAAATTTCACTCAGTAAGGGCAAGATACATCTCTATTATATTTTAATACCTTCATCCTCTTGAATAATTAGCCACTTTTCTTATTGGACATGGATGTAAGCTATTATTTATAATTGGTAGTGACTTCACAGTATTATTGAAAAGAGAATGTTGGTATTTTCAAGTTATCCAGAGGAAGAAACAACCCCAAGGAATCCTAAAGGAATACATTCTCATAAGACAAAAAAGCAACTTAGAGAGGGATGGAAGAAGAGAAACACACCTCATCCTCTGAATGACAGGGGGCCAGGCTGTATTTTGACTCTTGGCTTTTGTGAAAAGGAATTGTCTAAAAGCATAATGGTGTCTCAGATGGGCAGATGTGTGTAGAAAGGTGCCCAGGGCAGCCACCAAGTGCAAGTGTTGCATCTAGCTGGCACTTGCCCCTATTTCAGCCCTTCTGTTGTCTAAGGCTTCATTGCCAACATTTGATTGCTAACACTTGTCCAACCACATCTTTGTGCAATCAAATCTTCACTGCTTACTGAATATTACTTAAAGTCTTTGGTCTTTCTTTTTAAGAAACTGAATTTAGTGTTGCTGACATACTCTCCTCAGTTACTGGTTATAGGTTCTCACCAGAAATTCAGGTAGCTAGTCTGTCTTCTCCTGCAAACAGAAAATACTGGGTCTGGGTTCCCATAAGATTGGGTTCTTTCAAGGCAAGAAAGAAGTGAAAACACACCTCGCCAACAAATGGCCTTCTGTCTGACTGGTGTACTGCTCTCCTTTCTATGCCAGCCTTCCTGCTAATGAGCTCTATAAATACTAGTAAAATGGATGAAGGAAGGAAGGAAGGAATGGTTCAAAAACACTTACTCTTTGCAAGTTGGAAAAAAAAAAAAACGGAATAGCTGCTCACCTGGCTCTGTTTTGTCCGCGGAGATTAAGGTTACAGAAGTGGGAGCCTGAGACTCACCCTCGGTGGACTGAAAGAGTGAGGTAGATTGGCTCAAGCTCTTTGAGTAGGCATAGCTCTGGGCAAGGCAAGGCAGGGATCTCCGGGATGGTTTCAATGAAGTTTCCTTTGTTATCTCGCTCTTGCTTACATTCATACCTGCAAATTCAAAATGGTGAGTTTTAGAAGTAATAAATAATGAACAAAAGTCAACAAATAATTTTAATTCTTGTGATGGCTGTTTCAGGAAAGTACTCTTGAAAAGCACCACCTAGGGACTAGAACTAATTGAGTTAGTTTTGTTTATATTTTGTAAGGAAAAGTGAGAATTTTGTCAAATAGTCCAGAGGAATAAACAGCTTTTCTTCGAGTTGACCTTCCATCATTTTTTTTCCAAAGGAAAAATGTTTAATATAAAGATTCAAGATTCACATCATGATAAGATATAAAATTGAACACCTTCTTGTGATAAAAATACAACTTTTGCATTTTTTCCTATTTAACTTATCCTGCCAACTTTTTTCCTGTGCTTTCATCATTTTTAAAAGCTTCTGTAAAAAAAACAAAAAAACAAAAACAAGTGGCTAAGTTCATTTAGGAAGTTATGAGGACAATCATTTGGATTGTCTTTGGATAAATCTAACCATTTAGTTTTCCAAGTGGCAAAATAAATGAAACTTAATACATAAACATTCAAATTACTGTTTACTAAATGGAGCCCTCCTTTGTACTCTATTCTCCCTTAAACACAGACATACTACACTTGATTTTCCAACAATCTTATAGAGCAGGTATTGTTATTTCTATTAGCTGTGGGGAACTGAGACTTAGAGAGTAAAAGTAGTATGACTTATGTCACACAGATAAATAAGCAGTAAAGGGTTTATATTTCAAGCTAAAACCACCACATCAGGGTGCATCTATAAATTAGTTTGAAACTCCTGAACACCATCTATTCACCCCCAAACTCACAGACATTGAAATGTAAAGAACATTTAGCAAAGTCCATACCAGTAGAGACTAAAACACAGAAAGAGCATATAGCTCTAGGCACATCTGTTTCCACCAGCCTCTCTATTCACCTGCCCACATGCTGATTCTCTGTATATTAATGTAAATTTCTAAGGGAGTGATTGAAAAGTGAAAGGGATAGTGCAAATGCATTAGTACACAGAACATTCAATTAAGGAAGCTTTTGCCTTGCAGTTACTCATCTTAATTTCAATTTTGAGACAGAGTAGAATCTGGGTCATAATAGGTGTGGGCAAAGGGTAAAGACAGAGAAAAGGTACATTTTCAGTAATTATTATATTTAGAATATAAACAAATTTAACTAAATTCCACCCAAATTGCTCAGGTCAGTAATTTTTTAGCTACTCAATTTTATAGTCAGTTCATAAATCAACTCAAAGTTTCTAAATAGCTCTTCAAATAAATGGATTTAAGTAAGGACAAGCAGAGGTACCAATGTGTACTGCCCATTGGGACAAATGGGAATCCTGAAAAAGAAATAACAAAGCAATTTTTGAAAGAGGTTCTACAGAACTAAGACATGGTTGAAAAGATGAAATTCAGATAAACGTAGGAGTGGGGCTTTTATACTTTGGTTTTATAAAACTATGTATTTATTTTCATATTAAGTTTTAGTGTGTAAATAGAATGTAAAATAGAAAGGGATGCAGGGAAGAGCTATGAATTGACTGGAAGCATAACACTCAGTCTCTTAGCTTTCTGGGACCTGGTAATGACAAGAAAAGAAAATACTTTCTTGAAGAGGAATTCCCCAAGGTCCACAGAAAGTAGACTGAAATCCTACAAAAATACCAGACAATTCCCCTTAAAGACCAACTAGTGTTTTCTACACTACATCCAAGAAATAACATAGGGCAAATCTGTCCTAGTAAGTTTCTATACCTATTAATCTTTTGTAATGTGATCTGATAACATTCTTTTAAGAAACACCAATGTAGGTTATTAAATGGTCAGCTTTCTGTTTCTGGGCCCTGGTGGAGAAGAGCCTTTTACTCTAGCAGAACATAGGAGCAAAGGCATAAATATTTGGGGGGTGGAGTGGGGGAGAGGGAAGTTGCATAGAGAGAAGACAGTGAGAGTTGATGACAAAGATGTTGACTGAGAGAGAAATGCCCCTTGGCCCCAGAGAAATGGCCTTAATGGGAACTTTAAAATAATACTATTCACCTTAATCCCCTGACCCCATCATGTAGCTTCAAAAAGGAGCTCCTTCTACATTTCCCTTCCTTACAATATTCAAACATGAGTGAAAGTTTCAACCGTTCTTTGGGTGAAAGAGGACTACTGAATCGGTAGATACTATTTCATAAACCAATATGGGGTGAGACTAACTTAATTATGCTCACCAATGCTGTCAGTGTTTCCTGTCATTTGATTCATTCTGGTATTCACCTAGTCATTCAACAGATATTAACTAGGCCTGTGCTCTCTGAAGGCACTCTGCGGACACCGTGGTGAGTAAGGTAAGGTAGACAGTAATTCCTGGCCTCAAGGGACTTCTATTTTAGTTGAGACTCAGACACTGACCAAACAAAAATAAATAAGTATATACATGCCAATTGTCTGAAATGCTATGAAAATACAGGTACTGCTATATAATGGGACTTCCTTTAAGAAGTGACTGATTTTTATTCATCAGTTTATCATTTATGTAATAATTTCAAACAATTCTTGAGTTCTTTCTCTGGGCCAGGCCTTGACTCAGTGTTGAATATAACATAATGCTCACTCACAGGGGAAGGAGAAACATAAAAACAGATTTTATGCTAAAAAGCATGATGAAATACACACAGCACATTATAAAACCACAAGAGAAACTCCTAATCCAGGTGGCAATGCCAGTGAAGTCTTGTCTATGAAGGTAATCTTAGTGGATTCTTTCTGGCATATTCCTATTCCTATTTCTCTGTCTTTACTTATAATTCTTGGGTTCAACACATTTTCTTCAAAGGATTATGCATATAAGGTAGAAAACTCTCCATACAAAACATAACTGCTTAAAATATTTGTCAAATGCACCACTTAAAGAAAATTGGGGAAAAAATTTTGACAATGAACAAATGTCCTTCCCACAGCTCTGCATTTTCTTCCTATGCATCTTCAGCATAGTGCTCTCTCATTTCCTGAACCACTGAATGCTTCCAAAGCTATTATACAGATCATCTTTGCTGGACACCTATATAATTTAAGCAGAAAGTCTGATGTCCTAACGTTCTAAAGAGTATAAAGTTTCTTTTCAAAGTTCCACATTAAAAGTCGTCACATTCTGCTTGGCATAACTAACAGTATCTGTTCTTTGCATGGCATGATTAACATCAGCTACCCCCACAGTATATTCAGAATTTATTTCTTCAATGTTCCAAAGTTCCATTTCTTACCTTGTTGACTTTACCTGTTACCCTTAAATAATACTTGATAACTCTTCCTTTAAAGCTAATAACTAGAAAAGAGACCATAGTAACATGTCAATTTTGGTAAGCATATGCAGCTCATGAGTTCAAAGGTAAATCTATAAACTGCAGAAAGTGTGTCATTTCCTATATTTAGAACAGATTTTTCTCAAGCAACAATTACTACTTCCAATTGTTCTAAGAGCACTTCCTAAATGCTGACATATTTAAAGGGATCTAGTGAAATGACAATTTCACTTGTATATACACAAAGGTACAAGAGGTGGAATTACAAATAAGATATCTTCTAGAAATCTGACACCAAAGGAGAAAAAGTTGCCATTAGATACCATTTAAACTCAATGGGCTTTGAGTTGATATAGAGTTTTAATTGGATAAAATTTCAGAGAGGAAATTGGAGAGTAAATAAAAAAATGGTTGATTTTCTTTCTTTTTAAAGATTGATTGATTGATTTTAGAGAGAGAGTAAGAGAGAGAGGGAGTATGGGGAGGGGCAGAGGAAGAGAATCTCAAGCAGACTCCCCGCACAGAGCCCAATGTGGGGCTCCATATCATGACCCATGAGATCACGACCTGAGCTAAAACGAAGAGTTGATGCTCAACCTACTGAGCCACTGAGGTGTCCCCAAAATGGTTGATTTTCTTAGTGCAAAATACAGATTTTTCAAAAGACCTACTCTTTCAGTAAAATTTCTCTTCAAGAAAACTAACTCATCCTAAGGACTCATGCGAAAAAAAATATATTTTTATAGAATGAACTCTGAAAATTCTACCAAGTAAATTGTTAGAAGAATTTTTGGAAGATTTGTAGCAAAATAATATGATATTATGATCTACTTGATTTTACATTATGTCCATAAGAAGTTTTGTCCATAAAAAATGTAGTTGTCTGACTCTTGTTACAATCTCAAGATGAATTTTGTGGTTTAGTACAACTTTATACCTCTCTCAGAAATATTTTAGAATCGATGGTCCAAGAAAGGGAGGTGTCTCAGGATGCCATTTGATTTTATAAAATCCAAGCACACCTTCCTAAATAGTAGATATAAACAAAGCATATTTATCTAAATAATAAGCATTGGGGGAAAAAAGCATAAACGCACACAGAATTTTCTTCTTATCTTCCTTACCAAAATCAGTGTAGCTCTGTTTTCTTCAAAGGAACATTTCTGATTTGTTGCTAGAGTGCGCCCTTTTTGGCAGAGGTTATTGCTAGTGATAAAAGCACCATTTACTGATTGCCTACAAAGTGCCAGGAGCATCCTATATGTTATCAGTAATTCTCATACTAGTCCTGTTATGACTTTTCATCCCCACTTTACATGTGAAAATCCTGAGATGCAAAGGGTGTCAGTAACTTGTCTCCAGTCCCACGTGTAGGAAGTGCTGGAGCTTGAAACAAACCAGGTCCATCTGACGCAAAGGCCTCTGCCCTTTGCAATAAAACATGTAACTTCTTTGTTTACTCAGAAAGTTCTTTTACAATAGTTTGTTCTTCACTCATTTTTCAGTTTTACTCTCACTTGGAACAAAGACAGGTATGTCTCTTGTATCAGAGTCTTCGTAGAATAGGGATGGCTAACTCAGTAATTGAAGCAAATTTAATAATTTTTTTTTTAATTTACAAAGGGGTGGGCAGAACTAAGAGAAACCAATAAACATTGATGAAGCTCCTTACAACTAACAAGGGCCAGAAACTTTATCACCGTGGGCCTG